TTTCTAGTTTCTAGTTCTAAAGTAAAATACCTACTAGTAGTTTAGTATATTTAGATACTTTCTCTAAATAGAGCTCTACTCTAAAGAGCCTATAACTAAAGTATAGTAGTTTATAAAAGTATCTACTTCCTTTATAACTCCTCTTATTCTTCTAATAATACTTTCTCTAAACTAGGACCTTCCTAGAAGAGCCTATAACCTTAAGTATTAGTTATAATCTTTATAACTTTAATAAGTCCTTCTAGGGCTAAAATATATCCTTATTTTCTAGAGATATAATATATAGGGCTTTAACTCGTATTACTTTCCTTTTCTACTTCTCTTTTAAAGTCTAATAGGTATAGGAATAACCTATACTACTAGAATCTTTAAAGTAGTTAGACTACTAACCCGGGTTTATAACCTACTAAGCTACTTAGGATATATAATACGAGCGGACTAAGGGACCTAGTTTATCGTTAATAAAAAGGATAAAGACTCTAACTATAAAGCTATAAATACAAGATAAGGAGATACTAAGCCCTAATATTATATAATATAATTATATAACTAGCTTACTTTAGGTATTAACTAGATATAGGGTTATAATATTTAACACTCTCTTTAATAACTTATCTAGTCGAATTAATCTATATCTTCCTCCTAATTACTATCCTAATCCTATACTAATAGTACTAAGGCCTTTATATCTAAAACTAGCTTACTTTTAGCTATAACTTATACTATATTCTTAGCTATATCTAGGTAAAGGTAGTAATTAAATAAATACCCTCTATTTAAGTATAGACTATATCTTAGATTAAATCTAGACTTATTATATCTTTTTCCTCTCTAAGATAATAATCCTCTTAATAATATAGCTCGGGCTATAAAAGCTACTAGAGTTATAGTAGTTTGTAGTTATAGTATATCTACCTCTTTTTCTTAAAGAATTAAAAAAATACTATTAGGTAATAAGGTTAGCTAGCTATTAATAGTATCCTTTATAGAGGACTATTAATCTAGAAGCCTAGAAAGTAAAACTTAAATTCTAGCTTCTAGTTTAAGCGCTATTATAAGCTTAGGCTATATAGCTTTAATTCTTCTACTTAATATAAGTAGGTGTATCTATACTATATTAATACTTATCTCCCCTATTAATTAAAAGCTAAAGTACTACTTTAAGAGTTTCCTTCCTATTACTTTATTATCTATATACTTTCTCTTTAATTTATCCTATACTACTCTTATAGAATCTTTCTCTAATATAAGCTCTTTATTATTTTCCCTAAGATAAAGTAATATCTACTAGATTATCCTATACTAAGTTTTAGGGGTAATAGGTATCTAATTAGTCGTAGAGATTATATAGAAAAGATCCTCCTCTTTTAAGAAGATTTCTATTCTTCAAAACTACTACTCTAAATTATCCTTTATAAGAATAGGGTATAGTCTCTTTAGTAATCTAGAAGTTCTTTTTTAAGTATCTATTATATTATAGTATATCTATACTTATTTAGTATTTAGAGGTTATAAGACTAAATAAGCGGTAAAGTATAGTAAAGTATTTCTTAGCCTATAGGCTAGGAAATTAACTAATAAGAACAAATATATAAAATAAGTGTTTATTTTAGCCTTTTATAGGCCTCTATATAGATTAGCCCTCCTCTTAAAATAGATATAGTACGTATAGAACTACGTTATTTATATAGTATATTATAATTCTTAGGAGTATACCGCGGTAGTACTCTCTAGCCCGATATCCTTAAAGCTATTATAATATAACTAAAGTAGGTTTATAACTCCTTTTAAGCTTAATTACTCTATAACGGACTCTAGAGGTAGAAGAGGTTAGTTTAGTCTCTAAAGTATTATATCCTCTCCTAACTTTATATATCTAGTATAGACTAGTACTTCTATTTCGTAAGCTCTTCTTTAGAATAGTAGTTAGATACCTATATAGTCTTCTAGCTATAGTTTAAGACTAGTCTCTTAAGTATTATCTCCTTTTCTCTTTTCTAGCTTTTAGGCCTATCTATTTTTTAAGATCCTCTTTTTTCTATATTTTAGGGTTAGCTATAGGTAAGCTAGCTATAGTTTAGTATATAGCTACTTTAATATTTTTTTAGTCCTCTATCTAGAGTCTAGTAGAGCTATATCTAAGTATACTAGGACTTATACTTACTTCTAGAAAGGATTATTCTCTATCTTTATATAGGTGTATATTTTCCTTTATACCTAATTATAAGAGGTATATCTATCTTTTATATACTTATCTTTCCTCTAGCCGTAAGCTTTTACCGTAGTCTCGACTACTACTATCCCTTTTATAGCTATAGCTAGGCTGTTTCTATACTCTTCTTAGATACGGTACCCTAACCTATACTACTAGCTCTCGCTATTATCTCTCTATCTTCTAAGACTATAGAATATAATAGTAAACCTAGGCTTATAACCTATTTAGGATATATAATACGAGCGGACTAAAGGACCTAGTTTATCGTTAATAAAAAGGATAAAGACTCTAACTATAAAGCTACAAATATAAGATAAGGAGATACTAAGCCCTAATATTATAGAATTAGTCGGGGTCCTGCCAAAACTGCATCCGATTCGGGCTTCTTTTGCGGCCTTTTCGGGACGCAATTTTGCTCGCTTTCCCTCGCTTCCGCGCGTGCCCCCACGCTCTCTGCCTCGGGCGGCGCGACCCGACCTCGCGTCCACATCCTTGCCATCCTCCAATATCAAACTCTCCTCAGTCGCACAGACCCAACCGACTCGACCGGCGAAGCGCCCGACGTCAGTCATGAACACTACGTCCAGGTCGTGGCACAGGCACGGCGACATGGCGCGTCGGCGCCTACCCTCGTCCTACTTCTTGACTGGTCGCCCTGCGTACTTGTCGTTCGTCTTTCCGTCCCCACCTCCAGTCGTCGCGCCGACTCATCCTCCCGACTGTCCTTTGCCATACCAGCTCCATGACGCGGTCCAAGCTGCCTCCGACTCGAGCACATCGCGACGATGCCTTCGCGCCTGCAGCTGAACCCACGTGGAAAGAATATGGGATTGATATGGGATCGGCCGAATACTATCGCCGTCGAGAGGAGGAGTTCGACGAGACGACACAGACACGGAAAATCTACAAGGACAAGACGGAGAAGCTGCGCGATTGGATCAAAGGTTTATGGTTTCAGTAGGAACCTGTGACACCTTATCACCGCGTTCTCTAATTGACTCTCCATCAGATACTGTGAGCACGTCAACAAGGAGCCGATGTCGACCCTCAAGACGATGCCAATCCAAGTTCTCGACAACTTCTTCCACTGGCTCCTGCACAGGAGGCGCGAGAGTCTGCGCAGTGCCAGCTCGCTGCAGACGTACTGGAATGTCTTTACCCTAATGCGACGAAGCGAGACCGGCATCATCGACGTCCCACTCTTAATCAAGTCTCAGATGCATGGGGTAAGGCGACAGGCGTACATCAGTAGTGCTCTGCTAAACTTGCACAGGTCCGACAGCGACTGGCGGCCGAATTCGAGCTGCGAACAGAGAAGAAACCGAAGACGATCGTTCGGGTCGAGGACGAAGTGAAACTCCTAGCAGCACTGTGGAGCTCGAATGAGATGTCGATGGAGCACGAACGCCTTCGGGTCCAACTGGCGTTGTTGATACAGCTGGCTGGTATCACCGGCAGCCGGCCCGGCGCCCTCATAAGTCTGACGTATCGCGACTTGAAGCTGTCTCTGCTACGGGATCCTGAAGGAAGCGAGTGGCCGAGACTTGTCGTCGATGTCACTTTCAGGAATACTAAATCCTTTCTTGGAGCAAAAGCCCCGTGCGTGATACTGATCTCGTGGTAATCTGTAGTGGCTAACGAGACGACAGGAATACGTTCCCAATCCCACAAGTCCCTAAAGAGCCGTGCCTCCTCTTGTGTCCGCAGATCAGTCTCTTAGGGCTCATCTTTGCGGACCACGCCTTTGATGGCCTTGAAAGCCCGGAACAGCTGTTCCAGTTGAGAGTTACCACTGGCTTGAACGAGCAAGTGCTACCGATCAAAGATGAGTGGGCTGCTATCCCGCTATTCCGCCGACTCAAGAGCAGCGTGCACGGCCTCGTGATGTCTGAAGACGTGTGTGCGACGGACGACTGGTTGCGCGACAAGCTCAAGACGCTGAGTGATGTCGTTGGCTTCGACCTTCCCACCGGGCCGTATTCTTTCCGGCGAGGTGCAGGAGAGGCTTTTGACAGCAGCAGTACGTATCGTGTGCTCGCTGGGATGACGAACCCTACTAACGACAACAGATTATGTCAGTGACTCGCAGCGTAACCTGATCCTCCAGCACGCCTCCTCGGCAGTCTTCCAGCACAACTATCTCTCGCGATACATTACCGCCGATACGCAAGCTGCTTTTCGCGGCTTGGAGCCGCAGACGGCACTGATGCGAGCTGCGAGCGGCATGTCTCGTACGATAGACCCCCGTCGACCGACCAAGCTGAGCGAAGCCGAGCAGGCGCAAGTCAAGCAGCACCCCGAGGTCAAACTCCACCGCCGACGTCGAGACGGGCTGAAGAGTAGAATACGTGACAAATATGGGCCTATGACCCGTGCGAAGGGAACACTCATCTACAACAAGTACCACGCTGCTAGGCGCGATCACGAGAAGGCAGTCAAGGCTGCGCGCAAAGCGATGCTCGCTAAAAGCAAGACTATCTATCGAAAGCGCCAGCCCGTAGCGGACATCGCGAGGCAACTGCGAGGTGACTGCGACCCGGATAAAGCAGGCGAGCCCATATCCGAGGATTTCCCCACGAACACCCGTCGTCGTCGCGTCATGAATGCGCTGCTCACTCCCGCCCCGTCGGACCCAGCACGAGAATCCGAACGTCGTTCGAAAGCTGTCGCAGCCATTGCGTCGTTGAGTCGGCATCGGGATCCCCTTGTCCCCGAAGTCTGTCGGCCACGGAGGATGGCACGGCCAGTAAAGGAGGCTAGCCTCGACGCAGAGCAGGAGATGAAGTCGCCGGCTTTCTCTTTGGAGTGCCCGCCAACGCAATGCATTTTCTGCCTCGGCAATCACGAACTGTCAATGGAGCGCCGTACGAAGTCTTTTTACAGCCGTGGTACTCTCAAGAAACATTTCCGGAATGAGCACCTCCAGTATCATCCCGATAACGCACCGATCAGATGTCCTCATCCAATGTGTGACCTTACCCTGGAACACAAGATGCATTTGCAGAACCACGCGGCAGTGATCCACAAGACTCTTACGTGAAATTCTTAAGATTTCCCTCGCCCTCGATCTCGATGCAACGCCACTCTTAGCACCAAGAACTAACTACAGAAGTATGGAACGACGATACACAAGACATCCGCGTGAAAAGACCGTGCAGTCTGTGGAACATGTAGTCTTTTGGTGCTCGAAGAGTGCACACATCGCTACAAGCTCATGCTCTTAGGTCGGAATGAAAAGATTCGTTGACGACTCCAGTGTCCTAGCCATAGAGGAGCAACTAATGCGGCGATATATCGCCTCTTTGACACAAAGGCTGTAGACAAGCTTTCCGACAGCGACGTGGCGGGTTGGCAGCCGAAAGTGAGGCCACTGTGTCCGACCGCATTCATAATTGCGAGAAGCTCGCCCTCCTCGAGACTACCCTCCGCGAGCCACGACGATTTCAAGACCATCGTATTGATGTGTACGGTAAGCTTGTCAACATCATTAGGTGTATCCATACCATCGTCTAATCTTAGGTTCTTAGATGTCAACATGGACAATATGGGTTTGGATACAACAGACCTGGACCGAGAAAGCGTGACGAGCTCAAGGGTTGGTCCATCGTCTACATCTTTTCGGTCCGATCTGTCGGAATAGCTGAGCCAGAAGAGTTCCCCGTGGCAGTCGCCCTTGATCTGTGGACCCCTACTTCCTCGGGAACTTCTAGAGAACAGAAGAAGAAAGCTAAGACGTTACTTGTGGCCTGGGCAGATTAGTTCGGCAGCCAGCGGGAGAGAATGCAACAATGAAGTCACGGGCAGAATTCAAGAATTGAAGCTTCAGAACTACGTTGAGAAGCTGGCTTGGGCGGGGTTATAAAACTACGAACACTCTTTGAGATTTGAGAAAGTCGGTGACTCTCACTGTCGACTCACTGACTTTTGGGCTCGTGTCTCGTCTTTCTAAAGGGCATGATCCGCTTCCAGCTGATATATCTTCCTGGCAAGGGTTTTTGGACCTCATCGCTAGGGAAGTTGTTGTGAACGGACTCTGCTGCCGTTGCCGGATTGTCCTCCTTGATGCGGGCGGCGAGACCGTCTTGTAGACGAGTCGGCTCTGCAGTGCCTGGGCCACATTCCGAACCCAAACAAAGGCGTGTCCGCGACGTATGCTCTGACACAGCAGTTCGAAAGGAGATCATGTCGCCGTTGCCAAACAACTGGAGCGCCCTGTGGCCTGCTTGAACATTACTGGCATCAATTACCCCTTGGCCCTTGTTGAAAATAATCTGCAAGGCATTCTCTCCAGCTTTCATGTCGTGGACTGTGATACGTTGCTCAGCTAAGTAATTGAAGTTCTCCATGACTCGTATTTGATGTTGAAGGTCCTCTGCCTCGAGTTGTGTTTCAACTCGCTCTAAGTGTTTGCCTAGAGCTCCGATCGCCATCTCCATTGGAAGTCCAGAGCTCCTAAATGCTTGCGCTGTCATGGTGAATGCCATTGCATCAGTCCTGGACGAAGTCGCTTTCATGGCGTCAAATGATCGGAGTCACTGCTGCATTTCTTGAAGAGACGAATTGCAGATGTCGATACAGCAGACGGTGCTGTCCTTCTCGTCCAGAAGTTGCTCTCGTTCGATTTTTTCGTCAAGGAGAGAGTGGGAACGGTTCCGCCGCAATGTCTTCAGATTCTCATTCGTCTCTTTTAGGCGCCGCTTCAGGTCTGGAATCGTAGCATTGACTTTTGTTTGTTGGACAAGCATCTCAAATTCGCTAAGAGAACCTCGTTCCCCGTATCGAAGATCAGAAAAGTCGCACAACAAAGAGCTCGACATTGACTCACATCATAACCACCATCATGGCGGCGATTACCGTCAGCTTGTAGCCGTTCAACTGTGTCTTGACATCCGATATGTCCCTGCCATTCCACTGAAGCTTAATGAAGTCGCGCAGGCTTCAGCTATCTCCAGTCGAGTGTGCCGTGCCTCTCTTGACGGGTTCCTCCAATTCTAGGCACTTTCTAGTACAGTGCCGGAGCTTTATCTCAAGATCACAGAGAATCTCTTTTCCATTCCCCGACAGCTCGTGCAATCGCTCTACAACCACTAGGGCTCCGCTGGTCTCGCAGAGGTCTTTGATTATTTCGTCTTGATTGTTGTAGTCTGTAAGCGCTTCCTTAAGAAGTTCCAACCCTTTAGTAGTGTCAATAGCGATCGAGGCTGCCTCTGCCATGTTGCACGCTAAAAACGAAGATGCGAGAACAACTCTGATGGTAAATAATGTAGACGTCCCATCCGTGCAGAGTCTCTAGCATCTATAACATCTTTTTTTTCTTCTCTGTGTTGCATTCACTCTCACTGGAGCGCAAAGTAGGCCTGGAAACGCCCTGTATCAGCGTCAAATACAATCTGCAGATGATCGAGCGCGTGATGGCGAGTTGAGTCCTTGTTTCTGTTGTTTCTGGAAGCCTGATTTTGCACGATACCGGAAATCAGTATATGTGAGTCTGCGGAGGTTGGGAAGCTAACGAAGTGCAATTTCGAGAAACTCAAGGTGCACATATTTCGCGACCGTAGTCTCCTGGTCGAGCCATCGCTCTGTATATTCGACCGATCCGCTACAATGGCCCAAGTGACTGGTAACGCTCGTGTTGTAGTCATTCCGAATGTCGTTAGTGCGGCGTATTTGCAAAGCAAATCAGTTGAAAGAAGTCATTCGCTCATCAACTTCAAGGCAAAGATATGCCTCGGAAGAGAATTTGTTGCACACATATGCGTACGCATAGGTGCTTGAAGTGACCGAGTCTTGGTAGCTGCTGGAATCATAGAGCATTTCACTCACGAAAAGGTGAAAGAACCGGTGCTCCAGTATGTCCTATAGCCGCCGGAATGAGTTTGATGTCTTAGCGAACCCACCTTCTAATGATGAAGCTGGGATCCACGTGAGAGAACTCACTCTAAGACAAGCCGGAGTCAGGTCCAAAAAGCCTCATTGGCATCGTTATCAGATTGAGGAATTTAAATATTCTGCTTGGTCCCATGTTGCTCTCCTAGCTTATGCTGTGAATCTTTCACCTTGTCCTCCACATCCTTAAGACAAGGAGCCACGAAGATTTCGCCCGTGTACGCCCGTATCAGCGTTCCAATAGCCACCATAATCCATAACGCAGTGACCGTCAGCGAGAAAATAGTACCCAGGATGCGAAAGAACGCCGATGGCAGCTCTGTGCCCAAAGTCGTCGTGGCGACAGTAAAGACACCTAGTGGGAACGTGAATCCCCACCAGCCCATATTGAACGGGAACTTCTTGGAGTGGAGAATCGTCGCGGCCGCGAATGTGAGCCAAATGAGGCCGAACCCCCACATAATGATTCCGATAAGAAAGCCCATTACGTAGAGGATTTCTCCCGCGTTTTGGACTGCTGGTAATGAGTGCTGTCTCGGGAAGACCTCCCTGGCCACCTTACCCATCGTCATGATCCCGAAGCTGCCTTGACCTAACGGTCCAAGGGGTAGAAAGCTGGACACGATTACAGCTTTAGGCGGCAGACTGTTGGTAGTAAGGCGCAGGAGGTAGAGTGTTATGACGCACATCGCCAGTGGCACTCCTGTCGCCCAAAGGACGTAAGAGACGATCAACGTAATCAGCTTCTCGTCATCGTGAGGTATTACCTCGGCCACGATCGCTCCCGAAGCGGCCGCAACGATGGTAGAGACGATTGGTAGAAGCCAAGCCCCTGTGATGGAACTGATTGTGTTATGATGCTTGGTCATACTAGGACAGTCAGCCAACCCGTCGTCTGGTGAATATGGCCCGGCACTCACAGAATGAACGGCAGAGAAAAGCAACAGGCAACGCTGACCGTCGCATCGATCCACCAAATCGCCCAAGTAACTTTCCACCACTGTCCACCCCAAGAAGGCACACACACAAACGCCATCATGTTGATAATGGTCGCCAGGCCCATGGGGAATGTGCCCAGGAACAGGCTCTGAGTAGGGTGCCGAATCATCGCCGCCCAAATCCTGGGATATAATGTGTACCTCACGACTGAGATTGCTAAGAATATGACGAACAACAGCACGTTCAGCGCGAAGATGATGTAGGAAACGTATTGCAGCCATCTGCCATTGTATGGCAAATTATGGAGTAGGATAGAGGTGATGCCAGTACCCATGTTGACGCTGAACCACGACGGGGTGAAATTTCGCACGAGCCGCCGCCATCCTCGTTGGGTTTTGCATGGTTTGGCGTTGCTGTTGTCGAGTAATGTCGACGGGCATGTGTTGTCGCAGTCTTTGATATTCTCGATCGGATTAAGCTGACAATTTGCACCGCTGCCAGCAGGGTCGCTCATGATTGATGATGGGAAGAGTAATGTGCCGTAGTCGAGGGGCGGGCAGCATGGCTTTCGTTGCTCTTTGTATCGGCTTTGACCCCCCCTCGTACGTTGTTGGTATACTTTGTGAAAGCGGGCCAGCGGATGCACTAAAAGCATAAATCCCTTGGCGCAATTACGTGCCACGATTTCTTTTCGGGAAAGCGACGAGATGCACTTGAGCTTGCAAAAGTACGATCTGGCGAGAGTCTGCGCTCGTGCACGTGTATTTACAACCAAGATCGCAGCTGAAAGATCGGTACATCTACTTCTAATGTCCAAATCACCACGTACAGTACCCAGCATCTTCCAATTTCAACTCCACTTCTTTCTCTAGGCCCTCGTCGTTAATGTGACTGTAACAAGACCATCGCACCTCTCGTATCGCCGAAAATTGTTTACGGTTGCAGTTACACGCGTTTTGACAAGACCTTTTCACTCATCCTAGTTTCGTTCTTCTTCGAGCGTGTGGTGAACATATGTATGTGCATTCTCGTCTCTGTTCTGCACAGGCGGTGGAGCGGCGACTTCACTTAGGTTGGCATAGAAATCCGGTGTTTGCGACGATTCGTCGTGGTGATGGTGGTGGTGGTGGTGTTGGTGCTCATTGTGATGATGTTTTGTTGATGAAGCTGGTGTCCATTTGCCAAATCCCATCTTCCGCTTGAAGTTGGACCATTTCTCTGATAGAGGCATCGTTGGCGCGAGATGCGTTCTTCGTCGCTGGAGCCTGAATAATGGTCCAAACGTCTGATGTTTGGAGAAGCTCCGTTGCAAAGCGGAGACAAAGATGGTATGAAGAACGCCGCAGACTCGAGATCAAGGCTTTCGTGAGGGAATCCCGCCGTTTGTTGTTCCGTGAACAAAAATACATACAAACTTTCGCAAAGCGGCTTTGCGAGGAAGCGCTAGCGTAAATTCGGCGAGAGCGGAAGCACTAAGGACCCTGATTCTTTCAATGATGCAGGTCTCTTTGACCTCAGACGTTACCGGGACCAGTCCGGACGGAAACCGCAATAAACACCCCTTGGAGAAGAAGACCGTGAGTTCCCGAGTAAGCAAACAGAACGTTCCAACGCAGAGTGCTCACTGCCAGCCTCTCACTCTCACTACCACACTGCCCTCCATGGCAATTTTATCAATCCGCGGATCGCAACGTCTCGACTCCAGAGGCAAACCGACCATTCAGGTTGACTTGACGACTTCGCACGGCACTTTCCGCGCTCTGGTTCCCTCAGGAGCATCGAAAGGAGACTACGAAGCTGTCGAGCTTCGCGATGGCGACGCCTCTGCCTTTCAAGGCAATGGAGTGACGAAGGCAGTCGAGAACGTCGACGAAATTCTTGGTCCAAAGATAGTCGAGAGCGGCCTCGATCCAGCGCATGACTTGAAGAAGATTGATGAACTCATGATCAAGCTCGATGGAACGGACAACAAGAGCAAGCTAGGAGCGAATGCTATACTTGGAGTCAGCATGGCGGCCGCGAGGGCTGGAGCAGCGGCAAGAGGCATGGAGCTGTATAAGTTCTTGGCTGGCGAGAGCAGCTCCCTTCAAAGCGAATACGTAATGCCGGTGCCATTCATGAATGTGCTCAACGGCGGAGACCATAGTGGGAACCCAATGGCTTTCCAAGAATTCATGATCGCTCCAACCGGCGCTTCGTCCATTACCGAGGCTGTGCAATGGAATGCCGAGACTTACGCGAATCTCAAAAGCATCATTGAAGCAAAGTATGGCAAGGCAGCCATTGGCCTTGGGGACGAGGGCGGGTTCGCTCCTCCAATCAGTCATCCCGAGGAAGCGTTGGACCTTCTTGTGGAGGCGATTGCAAAAGCTGGCCATAACGGCAAAATCCAAATCGGCATAGACCCAGCTTCTCAGTCATTCTTCCAGAAGGGAAGCTATAACCTTGGATTCAAAACCAAGCAGGATAACACTCTGAGCGCAGCCGAGCTCGCATCACTATATCATCGATTGCTGGAGAAGTACCCTATTATCCTCCTTGAGGATCCCTTTGGCCAGGATGATTGGGACGCTTTCGTGGAATTCAACAAAATATGCAGCGTGGAGCTTGTGGGGGATGATCTTCTGGCTACCAACATCAGTCGCGTTAAGACTGCTATCCACAAAGACGCATGTAACAGCATGCTGTTGAAAGTCAACCAGATTGGCACTGTGACAGAAGCTATAGCTGCGTAAGTCTCCAAAATCCGGAATGACCCAATAGTGACTGACCGACTCGAATAGAGGACAAGCTGCCTACTCTGCAGGCTGGTCCGTCTTTGTGTCGCATCGTTCAGGCGAGACGACGGATGACTTCATTGCTGATCTTACTGTTGGCATGAGAACGGGACATCTCAAGTCAGGTGCTCCTGCTCGAGGGGAGCGAGTTGTAAAGTACAATCGTTTGATGGACATTGAGGATGACTTGCGATACCGCAACCAGAAATACACATATGCGGGCAAAAATCTGCGTTTTGCCCATCGTTGAGCTTGTTATAAGCTGTTATGCTGTTTAATACAGGACGATGGACGCACGTTCATGGCCTATTCCATAGAACATTCGATACTAAGCGACGAGACCGGTGAGTGACGATCTAGAGTTACATGTACCTGTTTCGCACCTTGCGCAGGCTATCCGAACCACCCGCCAAACCTGGCCCGTAACATGCGCTAGAGGGCGAGCGGAGCAAGAGAGATGCCACAAGGCGAAAAAGCCGCTGACAGTGATGAAACAAATACCATCCACTACCACTGTGGCGTTGTCGAATGATATTAGCTTTCCTGAAAACCACGCTCACGGACATGGAACTACCACCGTATGAATATGTTGTCAAGTCTAACAGCCCCCCTTCATATCATCCCGGCATCAGCAAGACCGGACGCCTTCTTTGCAAGCAGGAGCTCCTCTCGCCAGATCATGAGGCACTCGATCGCCATTGGTTTCGAGTCCAAGCCGAGTTGCGAAGCACCAGGCTACTTCTTTTTGAAGCCTCTAGCACGGAATCTGGGCCGAACTCCTCGGCCAAGCTTCTCAGCTCATACACTCTCCAAGCCGCGGATGTGGGCCTTGCAATCGACTACAAGCAGCATTTCGATGTCTTTCGACTTCGTGTCGAAGGAGAGCAACTTCTCTTCATTGCTCCCGATGTCAAGGATGCGGTAGCCTGGGTAGAGTCGCTACTCATAGCCATTACGATTAGCGATCCACTGGAGGTCAGGAAGATGCCCCAGTATCCCTCATTGCCATCACGTCGCACGGGATCTTTGGATGTGGACATGGCAGAAGGATTCGGACAACGCCTCTGGTCAGAGTTGGCGTGGTGCGCTCGCCGGAAACGCGAGTGGCTGTTGGAGACACCGAGTCGGACTCGCAAGGAGCGATGGAAGGAAGTCATGCATGGACGAAACGGTACAAGTCCGAGGCGTCACTCTCTTCCGTCCGAATCTGATCGAGTCATCGGAGCCGCTGTTGTGACTCGATCAGATTCGGACGGAAGAAGGTCCTCGACGATTTCGCGATGCCAGTGTCCATGTGCATCTTGCTGGAGGGCTGATGTAGCAAGCGGTTCCGTGTGCCAGGTAAGCGAAGATGAAAGAGAAGTTTTGAGCAAAGGAGTCGAGGTCTACGACGGTTCGGTCTCTGCCCTTGAGCAGTCTATTCGATGCACACGAACTTTGATGAAAGGGGGCAAATGGAAGGGTGGCTACTACATCAGGGGCGGAGGTCGAATTGTCGTCCCTCGTCGCCCTGCTTGGGGTCAAAGCTGGCAGACTGCGACGTGATGACAGGCAGGGAGTACGGTTGGCCGTGTAATTATCAGGACGAACATGATTTCGATGTTTACAGATGTCATCTTCCTTATGCAAAGCTCTTATTACGTCTTAACAAGTCGGGGCGCCGAAACCACTGGTCCACCGCAACGACCCCATGATAGCCGTTATGAATCCCACGCCTGCGAACAGACTGCACACGCCGTAAAAATACGCGTGTCGCAAGCGCAAGGTATCCAGCTCGAGCACCCACGTGCTCACAGTCGTCAAAGCACCGCAGAATCCGTCCATGATGCCTTGCAAGACCTGGCAGCTAACCACAGCTGCTCCTGCCGAAGACATCTGCAAATCGTATGCCATGCCTAAGACACAAGTCCCGAAGAAATTCGCAACGAATGTCCCGACTGGGAAGGTCCGAACTCTCTTGTTCAGATGGACCGACAGGAGAAACCGCATGAGACAACCAAGGGGGGCGAAGACAAGAGCGAAGAGAACTTGTCCACGCCAATGATCATGGACAGGCCAAATAGCCAGCAGGACTGCCCCAAGCCAGCATCCAGGGCCGAGGAAGAGAATCAATGGATCTATGAACCGGCTAAGATGCCAGACAGGCATCTTTTCTGCCAGCCGCGCGAAACTAGTGGCTAAATGAGCACCGAAGTTGAGAGCTACGATGCTCAGACCGACTTCGAGGATCAGGATAGCTAGCAACGCCATAACGCTGTCGCTTGCTGGTCTCGAGCGATAGAACGCTGTCGTAACTGATGCGGAAACGGGCGCGTTGTTCAGATTGTTGGAGATTGCAAGGAATGCATCTCGGCAGATCGAAGCAAATGAGGTGAAGCAACCGCAGAAGCCAACCGTCATTCCGATGTAAGCTGGAATTGCTCCTCTGGCGGTGGCATAAGATTGTCGGGCAGAATCTTTCAGCTTCTCTTCATCCACGTTCTCTTCAGACGAGTTGCTACGACGGGCGTTCTCTAGCTCCTGTCTCCAGTGTCGACGAAATAACATACGGTCTTCGCGCAGTATACCCATCAACAAACTCCCGCCGACATTGGCCCAGAGATCCGTGTTGGCAACGAGCGCGCCTGGGTAGATGGTCAAGGCTTGGAGTCCTATCCGAGCGAGTACGCCAAAGATCGAGAAGAAGATGAGGTACGACACAATATAGATTTGTGTAAGCCATTTCGATACTTCTGACTGGCCCTCCTGGTCCTGTGCTTTTTTAGGAGGTCGTTCACTACTTGTTTCCAGACTCTCATGTTGATAGATGCCTTGTTCGTCTGGATTTTCGTCTGGTGCCGGTGCTGCTAGTTCGTCGAGGCCACCTTCCTCCTCAGCAAGAGCGTCTTCTCGATTATTTCGACTCCCCATGGTATCGTCATTACCTCAATCGCGTGAGCGCATGTCACATTGCCAGCGCATTGGGCCGGGTAAAAGTCTGTGTGAAGATCGCGAGTGTTCAGAGGTAGAGACTGGTACAGGTTCCTGTTTTCGCGAGCTAGAGTAATAAGGGGAGACGACCCGCCCCGGAACGTCGCTACCTGCACTGCGACGCCTTCGCTTTTAGCGCTTCCGAAGTTCCGCTTTGATACTTTATTCCACATTAACAAAGACATCAGGAGTCACTGCACTCAATTGATATCAGGAGTCATTGCACTCGATTGATACCATGTTTGGAGGATAGTGCTTCCGGTCGCCCCATCTGCCCGAGGGCTTGTGTGCACTCACTCCAAGTCTTTCAACCTCCACGCTGCTGTCATCGTGATGCGCCGTTCTGCAGACCGAGGTCCGGATTTATCGTGGCCCAGTCGGGGTTGGCTTCACTGCACTGGCTGTTGAGAAAGTGCTCTAGACTGGCGTCCCAGTCGACCATGTCGACAAAAGGTGCAAGCTGTGGGTGGATATCGAAGCTCGGATCACCCATGGGTTCAGCAAAAGACATTTTTTGCCAGTCGGTCGTCGGCAATGCTTGCAGTTGCTGTGCTTCGAAGGCTGGGAGAGAAGGCTGAAAGTTACTAGCAGTCGGATTCAGACCGTTGCCATTGTGCTGCTGTACCGTCGTCAAGAACTTCTGAAACGGCTCGAGCCCCTGGTCGTTGGTTTGTGTGGCGTCCCCAACTTCCATCTGGACATCTAACACTTGTTGCTTTGGAAGCGCGTTTTCATGAAACCTCCGCTTCTTTAATGGCAAATGGGACCCGACCACAGGTGAGGTCGCAGTCTCAGGCATTTGGCTATCCGGCGCGAACCGTTGCAATATTTCTGCGAGCTCAAAAGGAGAGAGTTCCGAGCCTGTAAGGCTCGTAGACATGTCCCCCAACCCCGAAAAGCCGTGAGACGCTGCCTGCTTAATGATGTCCGCCATGTTAGAGATGGCGCGGGTCAGCCTCCTCTGCTGCTCCTGCAGAATAGCCACGTGCTCTTCAGTGATGGGACCTGAAGCCTTGGCGAAGCGGCGAGAGGAAGTGCAAACTATTTGCTTTGTTCGACATCGGCCACACGGTACGTGACCGTCACACTGTCGGAGAATCGTCAGCCTATCATGGCTGGCAGGCGCAAGGCAAAGGGTACAGGACACGAGCAAATGGTGACTGACTTTGGACTTCCGGATCCTACATGGATCGCAGGCGTTCTGTGTGCGTGATGAAGATTGAGCCGCTGAGTTTGTCGGTGGAGGAAGAGCTCTCGCGGCGGCAGCTTTCTTTGACATGAGCACAAACATGGTGACGGAATGAGCAGCGGAAGCCGTTTGAGCCACGGGTGGGAAGGAGTTCAGCGTGTCACTCGGAGTCGATCGCAGGTTCTGTACGCTGTTGGCCGTTCTGCACTGGTGGCGTTGAGTCGTGTGAGATTCGAGCTTTGTGGCGTGTCACACCTGCATCTTGATTGGCTTATCTCTTCAACGTTCCAAATCCTTCGCAAGCGTGACTTAATGTACAGCATCGTTGCTCACAACTCCCTATTAGAGAAGGCGATGGATACTTTTACTGCTGACGAGAGTGACGCTGAACCTGCTCTACTGAGAACACCATCGCATGCGCCAATTTTCGTTCACGAAACGCGACACGCTAATGTACGTCGAGCAAACCGAATATTGTCGATCCTTTCGAATGGGCCGAGCTAGCTTTAGAGGTGGAGGGCAAGGCCGAAAGCGAGTCACCTGTGACAACGAGCGTGGTTGAGATTTCAGGTGCTGAACATTAATGAAAATGCTCAGCGATATGAACTTAGAACAGACCATGCGACTATCATGGCGGACCGGCGGCTCATTGGCACCGGCATCTCCATGCTAGTCTACAAGTGACAATGAGATATTGTCAGAGCCTGGGGTCAATGGAAGAAGTCGATTCAATAACGAGCTGCAGGAAGATGGGCAATGGAGGGGAAATCTGTTGTCTAGCGTCTACCGTAGAAAGCAGAATGCCACGGACTTGCCTCTCACAACTTTGCGCCTTCCTGAGCTCGTGTATTCTTGCAAGTATCAAGAGCTCCCCTCGTTCCCTGACCAAGATGATACGTGAATGGACCCCATAAGCCTACACGCACGCACGGACAGGGAGCTCAAGCTGTGCGATTCAGCGCTTCAATGACTGCCTGTCCCATGGCCAATACCTGCTCCTCTTGCAGGCGTCTGCCCAAGACTTGAAGTCCTACTGGCATATTTTGGGCGTCTACAGGTCGGTCTGCAGACAATCACAAGTTAGTCAAGTGAGTGAAATTCTTGGTAGGCATGACCAACAATTTTTTTGTATCTTCACTTCCTCTTCATTTGATGCTAGACGATTCTGAGCCTCCTCGAAGGCCATCTCCGCTAGAGAGAATCCGGGCGAGACCGGGAAGACTGCGGCTGGGACATCAAGGATATTTGCCACCGCAGAATAGGCGTAGTACTGCGGATCATTCTGGTGTCCTGCGACGTAGGGGGCAACAGGTTGAATGACGCCATCTACTCGTCGGCCAGAAGTTGTCTGACTGTCCATCTAAAGTGAAGATCAGAACAGCTGAAGTTGTCTGATTAAGGGCACCGGGCCGCTTTATGTTTTCTACTATACGTACTTGTCGCCAGTATTTTGCATAGTCTCTGCGATACTTGTCGCGAGCCTCGCACAGCTGCCAGAAAGATGATGTCGAGATATCTTCATTGTCTTGTTGCTCATACCACGGCCGCATTTGCGCAACAGGCGGCTCACCACTTGCATCAATTGCATTCCGTATTTCTTGTGCGCCGGTTGACCCAAATATCCGGAACTAATAGTTTTAGCATCACCCACGATGCTAGATGCAGTACTGACACAGCACTTACAAGGTTCTCGACCGCCTCGTTCTGTGGAGGTGGCCTCCATGGCACGATCTATCCTCTCATCAGTATGCAGTACCGCGAGTGTCGCAGGAAGCTCACTTCATAACCACAGCTTAGTAATGCTTGCTTGACCTTCTGCAGGGCGAGTCGAATAGGCGGATGTGGGTTGACGTGGTCATCGGATTGTAGCACTCCAAATACGAGTCTCCCATTGGCTTCTATCCCCACTGGATCGCACCTCCGTGCGAGAATGCTCTCGTGTTTTTCTTTGCGCCAGGGCAACTCGAGTATCTCGTTATCGTACGTCCAAGGGCTTGAGTCCTGCAACGCTTTAAAAACGATCTGAATTCCTTCGAGTTCGGACGCGAGCATCCCAACAGAGCCAGCAGCAGTGGGAAGACCCGGAAACTTCGTGAGCGGATGTGAGATTGTGTTCCGATGAGACATCGCACAGTCGGACTTACAATTGCGGCGATACCACTATCGGGGAGTCTTTGCTCAGAAGCTTTAAGAGCGCAGAGACCGTTGAACGCTGCTGGAATGCGTACAGACCCAGCTACGATGTTTGTTCAGCGTGACAGTCTTTCTCGGAAAGATGCATAGTACCAATGTCTGTCCCAAAGCCGATCGGGGAGCCCCGGAGCGCTATGAGGGCGCCTTCGCCTGAACAGAGCGTGAGTAGTTGTGTGCGTCACTTTGAAAATCTTTCCATGCTGCCTACTCACCACCACAAGCACCTCCCGCTGACAACATTCTGTTGAATGGATTCATAGTAAACCCCATGATGTTATTGTCGGTCTCGCCCATCTAAAAGGCAAGCAATGTCAGCATCTTGGCCAAAATCAGTCGCACGTGCGGCGTCTTACCATTGCGCTCACGGGCACATTGGTTTTACAAAGGATGACTGCGCCAAGGGTGCGTAGGCGCTCCACTAACACGCCCTCATCGTCTCCTGTTCTTGGGATTCCAAGCCAACTGACGTAGCCACATGCGCTACGCAGGCCGGCTACGTGGAAGCGGTCCATCAAGCTGACTGGCAAGCCATGAAGAGGCCCCACGGGTTTCTGATGCATACGCCATTGTTCATCAAGTACGGCCGCTCGTCTTTTAGCGTCAACATAGTGATACTCACTCAAGCAATGAGTCTATGCGCATGTTAGCCAACGTTCGAGCTCTGGTTTGACTTGAGATTACCAATTGATGAGCAAGCGCTGCTCGATGTGCGAACGCAGCCTACACACAGTTCAATCTCAGATTAACATAGAGTTCGTACACGTGCGAACATATATCTCAGCAAGTCACAGATCGGATCGCAGTTGTTTCATGATTATAGTCGCATGATGTTCAAGAGGGAGCACCGAAGGAGTGTATCTCAAGGATTGATCCACGTACCAAGACCTCGCTGGCCGTTACATCGCCTTGCCGCAGCTTTTGTAGTAGCTGCGACACGGGCAGCTCGGTGATTTCGCGAGTATCTGAAGAAACGCGCTTGGCAATAAAGTCGACAATTTTGCGCTGCTTGGTTCTTCCTCCGATCTCGTCGGGAGCGAGCCTCCATTCGATGGGCATTGATGACAGAAGAGTCTCTCGCTGGGACTGAGCGACTTGCTTCCATGACATTGTGAATTTATGACATTTAGGGGCAATATGATGAGAACATCTGCCAATGTAAGGCTAAAGCTAGAAGCTGTGATGATGTAGTCAAGTTTTCCGGTAAGTGTGGGTTGCGGTTGAGGGCGGGTTGCACCGCTCGAAAGAAAGGCAAATTGGACGGTGGAGCTTGGGCGGGTGTACCCGATATGTGTAGAAACTACGCTCAAGCCGCTCCGTAAATAGAAGCCAATCAACATGCGGCCTGAAGCAAGAATCGTGGAGTTTATCTCGGAAACATAATCGAACGGACTTTCTGAGACTGCGCGGACAAGCACCCTTTCTCCAACCTCACACAATGCACGCTGGAGATCAACGGGAAAGTCTCTTGGATGAGGAGATGCTACGGACTTTCGCTGAAGACGAATGTCTCGAGCCGTGGTTTCCCCGTGTATACAGCGCAGAGCAAGATTTGCCATGTCAGACTGGATGACATGGCGCCGATGCCACGGAAGCCGGTGTCCAATCAAGTCTTCCGACTCAATTCACGTGACTCACTTTGCGACGTGTCGCAACGGGCGCATCGCGAAACGTCGTGTCATCTCTCAGATGCCCTTACCGCCACACTCTGTCCACATCTATGATTTCTCCTGGCTCTACGAATGTAGTAAGGAGTTGTTGTTCTCGCCAGCTGGTGAGAGCCTTCATCACGTGATATGGATACGCCCCAAGTACCTTAACGCGATGCAGACCAATCCCGGCAAATGGAAGCATTCGCTTCCTTCACCACCATCAAGCGCGCCTCTACGTAAGGTGCGATCGCAGTGCTTGTATGGTATTACGCCAAAACTAGGACTGATAGACAGAGTGTAGACCGAGCTAGGGATATCCCAATTTGACGGTCGCAGAAATCCGGACGGACAACTAGAATCGCAGCAGCAACGCACTCCCGATCAAATCCAGTGTCCTCGCGGAAAGATGCGCCGGCGTTGCGCTAACCAATACGCCTCCAATTTAGATCGGTCACAGAGAAGACCTTAGAAGAACCCCACAAGAAGAATTAGATTGCTGTGCGTAAGGCACAGAAGAGCAAGCACCAATTCAGTTTGGGGTTAGGTCCAGAAGGTAGCCAAAGTACATCTGTGAAAAGAGTGAACGTGGAAGCGATGGGTCATGCGCAGTCCAATAGGGTTCGGCCCTCTGCACTCGAAATAATAATGCTTGCCCGATGTTGTTGGGGGAATCCAGCGATCAGCAACTGCCCGTATTCCGCCGTCTTATGCAGCGCGGTCCCTTCCCTGGCTTTCTCATCAGTATACTGCAGTAGTAGAGAGCTCTCTTTTTAGCGATGACCCACTTTGTACAGAGTGTCTACGGTGTCATGCATTTGCATTCCAAGATGATGCGCTTTCCAGAGAAAACGAATCACCACATCTTTGCGACTGAAAACCGGGTCGGTAACGAAGGTAGAGTTCAGTGTTTTCAACGTGGTATGCATGATCGACCTATTTGGACTTCAAGCTAAGGCAGATGTAAGCGACTTTTCTTTGAGCATACCCTACGAATAGGAGGGCGCATCTTACCGGTGATAGTGTTGTTGAGTTCGTGCGACCGTCGGTACGGAGGAAAGACGAAATCAATGCGTGTTGAATTGGTAGAGATATATGCGGGACGCACTGCCGAAAATACATGACAGTATAGCTCATCAATGTTGCTGACAAGAGGTACCAAATTCGTGGAACCTCGGAACCGCCGAGACTCTACAACTTGCTTTAGGACGTCGAGATCCGGACTGGTTTGGCTTTCAATGCGCTCCCATTCTTTGAAAATCGGAGCTGTGGTAGACAACCCTCCACTTGCTTGCTCGATTACGATGAAAGTCTTGCCCGGCGCCCGCTATGACACTGTGAGAATGGACGCATGAAAAGCCAGCGCCCTTTCAACGCAGACGAAGTGAGGCGGAAGTGCTCGCCAAAAAAGTTTTCTACCATGAACTCGCCTTGGTCGAGCCGATAGACTGGATTTTTGGATGGGTAGCCAGGTAGCGGAGAGTCATGCCGTAAGATATCCGACCAGCGTGTCTCACTCAGCGGCCATTTCTTGGGTGAGGGGTAAGGTGCGGGATTTGTCGAAGAGCAGCTCTCGCTGAGTTCACTGCAACACCACAGGATCATCGTCGATAAGGGCCCTGTCTGCAAGGTTGAGCTGAAAGTGGTTGGCTATGGTCCGACCGCGGACCTTCACTCTGTGACTGAATTACCACCGGTGGACGAAACTACCCTTTCCCTTAAGTCCCGACAATCTGCGCTGCCTCGACGCGGGCGAGCAATCTCATACTCGCGCCTAACGACTGGCATCGGGGAGTAACCCTGCATGCCCGTGAGGGAGCGATGCTGGAGAAGTAGCGATGCTGCTGAGGCATTCCCGTGGCTTGCGGTGCTGGTGAGGTGGCGATGCTGGTGAGGTATCTGTGAGTTAAGCGATGCTCGTGACTTCACCAGCGTTGCCACTTCGCCGGCATCGCGACACATAACATGGACATCCCCGGACGCGTGCTGTCCTGCGACAACATCCTGGATCTGACAGTTGCGAAGAGAGCATGCGGCAGCCGAAAGGCCAAACGGTCATACTCCAGTCCTTTCCGGAACATCTATAAGAGAATGACGGTGCAAGTAACAGCACGCCTTCAAGAGCAAGAAACCATCCCGCCGTTTGTGGCTGCACCGTGGTGGAAAGGGCCGAGAAACATCATAGAGGACGAAGAGACCCGTCGGCTATCAAAGCCTAGAGTAGCCACAGGCTTTTGAGAGGGTACACCACTCATTGCAGGCAGTGAGATTAACGCAGTTGGAAGACTACGACAGCGATGCAGAACCGCCATCAGATTGCATACGATGTACCATCGAATGGAAGGCTGTGCTCAAAACAAAGAGGATACGGAATGATATCGAGCAGAGTATACACGCCCTTGGCTTTTGCTTCACTTCTTGACCTAGACCAATATACTGCACCTTGGTCTCCTCAAGATTTTGACAGTTCTCACTCGGAAAGTCTATCCACGAAAGAGGTTGTTGAAAAGCTGGTGTATGATATCCAGTCGAAGCTCCGTCGCTCAACACAGCAAGCCAATCGTGATATCTTTGTTGCCATTTGCACGCAATTCCTCCAGTGTATTCATTCTCTGAAACTTGGCACCGGACGGGCCAATACTAGGTGCGAAAATGGTGTTTTGTGGCCGACGGAGAATAGCAGACGAGAACAAAGTCGAATACCCGTTCAAAGCCGCGGGTAACATGGTCGTCGCCGCACCATCTATGTTCTGCTCGACGAATTTTATTCTCGAGGCTGATGTCCTAGAAGGTCAGTCGCTTGGAGACATGATCAAGAACATGCAAACCCGACAATGTAGAGTACGACACCGAGACGACAGACCGACAAGAAATTCGGCATTCCGGCTTGTACGCGTTTGCAATGTTGAGAGTTCGACTTGCGGCCACTAATCTTAGCCGGTCGACGCCAAGACGCTCCATACGATATGACCGTATACGGTTTTCCCTAGTGACGCACGAGAAAGCAATAGGCTCTACATAACAACAGCTCCCTTGTTCACCCGTCTCTCTGTATGCACTCCCCTGTTGAAAGGTGCTCTTTCCAACGCGTGCGCTTGAATGTCCCAAATTTCCTCTCCAAGGGTTGCCAAAGTCTCTCCAAACTCACAAATTGTCGTGGCCACGTCCACATTTCCTAGTCGCAATGATTGTGCATACTCCTCATCTGTCCCAAACGTTGCGACTCTCCAAATTGTTTTCCATCGAGTAACCGCCGAAAGTGCCCTGTGATCTTTGCTCTGTACATCGGACGCGACAAGATAGAACGACGATCTCTTCGTGTGTGCCGTGCGCGGCTTGAAAACCTTCACAGTGGAGAATTGATCGAATGTGTACAAGAGGTAGAAGCTTTCCCACTGCTCAATTCTGTGCAAGAGCACTATCATGTTGCCCCCTTCTCGGAGATGCTCGAGACCAAGCGCCAATTGGGTAACAGTGAGTCGGCGTGCTTCTCGTCGGTCCCGGTATGCCTGCCGTTGATGTGTTCTAAGGACTTGGCCATCGCAGATGACCAAATCATGCTTCTGTTGTCCAAGTTGTTGGGGCAGGAATCGACAAGCATCTGGATGAGCCGTTGGTATCTCTTGAATACCCATATCTGCAGCCAGCATGGTGATATCCAAGGATTTCAGGGTTACACGCGACAGACTCTGGAGGAGCACCTCGTGCCCGCCGTGTTCAGGATGGTGGACGCATGTCTAGCCAGAAAAACCTCTAAGGGCCCTTGTGGTAGTATCCATCCTCGAAGGTCTATCGTCTTGAGACGAGGATAATACTGGTCGGCAAGCCACGACTTATAGACCACATCTTTGAGACGGTCGTTTTGCACTAAGGAAACTGCACTTTGAGGTAGCTGAATGGCCAGAGTCAGATGCTCGAGGCTTAAGGCACGGCGAAGCGTGCGTTGTATACGGTCTTCCGAGTCGCCAGGCATGGTCTCTAACCATTCTGGATTAATGTCGATATGTAAGTACAGCCGTCGCAATCGGTGAACGATATCGAACATATACGCGATGGCGTAAACAGGAATATGTATCGGAGCTCGTGGATCATGTCGAGCAGTCCCCTGAGTCTCGTCCTCGAAGATGTGAGAGCCAATGGAGAAATGCTCTATATCGGCGTCTTTGCTGGCTTGAATCGTCCACATAAGTTCCTCAAATAGCATGGTAGCGTCGACCATGTGTGGCATCAGGGCTGGAGCCAGTGTGTTCCCGAAGAGACGACGAGTACAGTCGTTGTAGGACTCGTCACACTTCGCTAAGCCGCGCCAGTCGGTGAAGACAATGCTCCTAAGTCTCTTGAACCTCGAGAGAGCCTTTCCTATTACCCCTTCTGCGATGCCTCTACGATCGATTTGCTTTTCCGCAATGTAGAGCCTATGATAATCAGGAAAACTTCGATGGCAGCCAAGAGAATATGCCGTGTCGTGGTGTTGAAGAGCGCCATCGTTGTATTCACTTGAGCTGTTTGTTCCTCCGCTCTCGAGATCATCCTCGCTCTCGCTCCCGGAGTGATCCTCACTGCTCATCTCTTCCCCAGTCTCATCGAGAAGCCAAAATCCACTGAGATCCTGGTCTGGGGTGGACGTCACCGAGATTCTTTGTGTTTCTCCTAGCTCTTCAATGTTGCTCCAGATGAGCTGATCCTCGAGCTTCCTTTGTGCCCACTCTGCATCCGTGAGCTCTTGTGGCGCATTCAAGCACTTATGGACGTACGTGTCCCAATCTGTCGCACAATGTCTCTCGTACGAGCTCGCATCATAGATCAACTCTGTCACGTATTGATGAAAATAATCGTGTTTCATGATCTCTTCAAGACGAGCGATGGTCTTTAGGCGCCTAGCAAAGACCACTCTGGTGACTAGGTACGGGGAGCTGAGTTGCTTGAACGAGTGGCACACGAGTCGACAGGTTCCGATGGCTTGTTTGTCTTCAGAGAGGAAGAAGAAGATTCGATCGAGCATTTCGTTGGGAAGGGCCGAGAGGATGGACGCCATTGACGTTCGAGTCTCGAGAGCACCGAGGAGGACGATTTTCGCACATGCGTACTAATAATTCAAACGTATAAAAGGCTTCGGTGCAAGGCCACACACAGGTCTTGTATAAAATCGCCGGGTAGACCACGAACGACGCGCCAGGGCGTCGCTACAATCGTTTGCTGGATACCCTCACACGAGTGCATGCAGGGGGATCGAGATCGTAGATGTCGCCGCCCGCAATCAAAGAGATGGCAAAAAAATGGCGCTCGAGGAGCTAGTCCATCGGCATCTGAAGTGACATGCATCGCGCAGGCGACCGCCAATCAATTGACGCCGCGTTTGCTTGGCGCTCGCACTCATCCGTCTCCCGCTCGCGGCACGTGCCTGATGGACCGAACACTGTGGAGGACAATGCCGGTTGCTGAGTCACGGACCGTTTCCGGCAGTCAAGGAGGAAATCCATGACCGAGAGAAAGGGATGCTGGAGTGAGGGATGCTGGAGTGAGGGATGCTGGAGTGAGGGATGCTGGAGTGAGGGATGCTGGAGTGAGGGATGCTGGAGTGAGGGATGCTGGAGTGAGGGATGCTGGAGTGAGGGATGCTGGGTAGAGTGAGGGATGAGGCTTGCATCCCTCACTCCAGTATTCCTCCAGCATCTCCAGCACCCAGTCGCCATGGCTTCGAGTGGCCGGCTTTGCACGTTGCGTTCGCACCGATAGGCATCTGTCTGGCTGTAGTCACGCAGGACACTCTTGGTGCGCTGCATAGCTGCTGTTAGGGTGTCTGAGACAGCCTATCAATCAATCAATGAATCAATCAATCAATTATTAGGCGCGGCGCGGGAGAAACTTTCCTGTTGGACACGCCAATTACGCTAGGGGCAAAGCTCTAGGGGAAAGCCCTTGGGGGAAAAGCCCTAGGGGAAAAGCCGCTGGGGAACTTGACGTGCCAGGATCACGTGTAGAATGGATTCGCCCAGGGCTTTTCCCCCAGGGCTTTTCCCCCAGGGGCTTACCCTTGAATGGCGTGTCACGTGATCCTTGGCACGTCAAGTTCCCCAGCGGCTTTTCCCCTAGGGCTTTTCCCCCAGGGCTTTCCCCTCAGAGCTTTCCCCTCAGACCCTCCCTCCACGGGAATTCACGTGATCATGGCACGTGTCAACTCCTGGGGGATTTCCCGGAGCCGCAATTCATCATCGAGTGACAAATCCCCGGAGGAAGTTCCCTCGACCCTCGACCTATGGCCTCCCCAAACAGCCGGGCCTTTTCCACCTCTGTAGAGGACAATGCCCGCTGAGTCACAGCAGTTCCGGTCATGTGTCATTCTTGGAACAAAGACAATCCATTTGTCAACTTTGGAGGCATAGCGACTATACCACGTGCGACAAGGGAAGATTATTCCAGAAAGCCGATGCAATTCATCCTGGGTTACTTCGACGGCGAAGATGTGAAGTTGTGGTCCCGTAGCATACTTGGAAGGGTGTTGCGGCAGAAAGCGATTGATGAGATCGTCGATACACTTATCGTGCAAGCTGGTGGCGTGTTGCAACCAACACCAAAAATCAAGGAGAAAAGAGCGACGAAGTGGCGGAGACAGGAAGAGAGGGACGAGGACGAAGGGTAAGTTGGTCGAGGTCGGAGCGAAATTTCGAACGACAGCTCTCGGAAGTCTCTCGGGACAAGATGGCGGAAATGCTTTGCGCGAAGAGATTATGACAGAGAAAAAGAGCAATCGCAGCAACCGGCGTCAGGGCCTCCATGATATTGAAACGCACCATGACTTTCTGTGAATTGGCGTGGGAGTACTGGTACTTCTTGCTTCATTCCGAAATATTTGTACTTTGATATTAGCACGAAACACCTCAGACGCCAACCCAGCTGATCAATGACTGACTTCGATCCCCACATCGTAAACAAGTGAACTGCAACACCACCAGACCACTGTCGAACAACCACAGACCTAACCGTCACCCGCTTTTCACTTCTTCACGACCTTGCCGGTCACCTTTCGTCTCTTATAGGCGCGCGGGATCGCACCGTCCTGCGGGTGGTGTTTCATGTTGTAGTCAACGGCTTTCTGTCTTGTACTGCGATGTTTCGACTTGCAGTGTGCACTGTCGTCCGTGTCAGAGTCCGACATGCACACTGGGTCATCTTGAGAAACATTAGCAGGCCCTAAAAGCAATCCGAATAGAGGGCTTACCTTCTGCCCCTTCAGCCAGGGTGAGATGTTGCGACTTGTCTTGAATCAACCTCTTTGAGCCGAGTTTAGTCGGGCGACTATCTTCGACGTCGCTGTCACTGTCGTCCGTGGAGGCCTCCACGGCCTGGTACGAAGGCTCTTGGTTCTGCCCAGCTGTTTGGAACGTCTCGGCGTATCTGTTCGGCTTTCTCCCAAACAGCAAGGCCGAAAGTAGTGTATCATGGGCCCACTGACCATAAAGCTCTGCAGGGCTGCGATCCGACTCTGCAATAGCGTGTGCTATTCTCTTCAAAGCGGACCTAGCGCGTGCGTGAGACCTCAGTGCCGTGATCAGTGGTTCCGTTCTGGCGCCGAGGACGCGAAGCGCCTCTTCCAGCATAGCCATGATGTAACGGGCTCGCGCAAAGGAATTTGTCGGGCCTTGCCACTCGAAGCGCGGCAGAGCCTCGTTAAGCTTGCCACCAATGATGTCGGCGAATTCTTGGTACTCCATGCTGGATTCACTGGCCAACGGATTGCTCCTCGACAGCACTTCCTCGACCTGTTGCAAGGAGATAGCAGTCAGCTCAGCAGCTAACCTGTCTACCCATTCGGATTGCAACACAGACATCGCAGCTCGAATAGCGGGCACGAAGAAGGTCGATGATGTCAAGGATTGCGTCGGTGTAATTGCTTTCAAGGCCTCAGGATGTTCGTTCAGGATGCCGAGCTCAACAGAATTCGAGAAGTTCTGGTCTTGGATCACGAACGTGAGTGTCGCCTGGGGTGGGTTGTCTCCGTTCCCCAAGGCCCCGGACGCCTGTTCACACGTAGGAAGGATCTCCGCTTCTCCGCTACCTGGTGCAGCAGTAGCAGCTGCTGTCAAAGAATCGACCAGTTCGGTGCATTGTAATTGTTGTGCCATCTCGTCACCTGGGACAGCTGGAGGGTCCCCGGAAGCCTCGGACGCTGCGTCGAAGTCAAAGAGCTCGGCTGGACCGTCTTGGAGGACGCTTGACATGTTGGCGGAGCGATGCTGGAATGGCGAAGCTGGTGGCGCTGGTGAGGCGTTGCCGGTGGTGAGGCGATGCTGGCGAGGCGACGATGGCGAGGCGACGACAATGAGCTGACGTAGGCGAAGCGTGGTGAGGCGTTGCTGGTGTTGGCGCGGCGAAGCTGGTGGCGCTGGTGAGGCGTTGCCAGTGCGGGTGGGGCGATGCTGGCGAGGCGACGATGGTGAGCCGACGGAGGTGAAGCTTAGTGAAGCTGGCGAGCTGGCGTGGTGATGAAGGTGAGTCGAGGTGGGAGAAAGGTTCCAGGATGGGCGGGGACTGCTGTCGTCTTATATAGACGAGGACCACAGCACAGACCGACTGGGCCTGCGAAGGCCTGCGCCATTTGCCCAAACTCCGCACGTCCGAAGCCACCAACAATGCTGCTCAGATGCCGTCATGCCTGTTCTGGTGAGGAGGCACCGCAGTGCAGACGCATTATTGGACCAGAGTTGCTGTCCGACGAAGCTGAAGCGAGTCCCCGTCCCTCCGAGGAAAGCTTCTATCCTATCAGCTGGAGGGAGATCTTCGACAAGTGTGTACGAACGGGAATCCTTGTTCTCGAGTTCGAAGTCCGCTTCCTGCCCATGCTGTGCTGTGCCTTGGATCATGGCGTCCGCCGAACAGCTCTGCAGCAGCATTCTTGTCCAATGCTTTACCAGGGTAATATACGGGGTAGTCAAGTTGCAACTTCGCCAAAATCATGCGTTGGCAGGGCGGTACACGGGGGAAGGACGGTTGGGATACTCCGCTCAAGCACGACGGCTTGAATGAGAGGTCGAAACCGCCAATGATACGCAGTATCACCACTCACTGTTGCCGCTCTCAAGGTATGGCGGGCCTTCTCGGGGATACCGCAGTGTAGGTGCTCGTTGCGTCGCTCGGGGCCCCCTGGCCAGGATGGATCTGTTGGCCATGGCAGCGCGAGGTGGCTGGGAGGTCATGTTGCTAGTGGCGGTGGTGATGGGCGCCGGTGGTGTACGCTTGGTTGGGAAACAGAAGCATCTCGCTAGGCAGGTAGCACCATTGATCGCAAGAAGCGCAAGGCATTTCATACGACCAGCGAAGCATAGAACGAAAGCACGTGGCCGCTTTGATTGACGGCGGCGTAGATATCTGATAATGCATTCGGTTTTCCGAAATCCAGGAAAAGGAGTGAGGTTGGCGGACTCCAGGCCCGTGCGGGATGCTCGGCGCAAAGTAGCGCTTCACGTGATAAATCCCGCGCGGTCCTGGGCCCGCGCACCTTTCACGCCCACATACCTGTTGAGTCCGCACGTCTTTTACGCCCACACACGTACGAGCCCGCGCACCCTTTGAGTCCCCATAACCTGACGCCCACACACGCTTTGGATCCGCACACGCTTTGGGTCCGCACACCTTCACGCCCACACACCCTTTGGGTCCGCACGCCCTTTACGCCCACCCACCTTCCAGCCCGCGCACCTTTTGAGTCCCCATCCCCCTTACGCCCACACTCCCCTTGGGTCCGCACACCCTTTGAGTCCGCATACCTTTACGTCCCACACATCCTTTACGCCCACAACACCTACGAGCTCGCGCACCTTTTGAGTCCGCATATTGTCGACGCCAACACACCCCAGCTTTATTCCGCGATGAACAACCCGGCGGAAGGTTCATTGATCAGTCAAGTCGCCGAGGACTAGTGCCAGGCCTTCGAACTTGAGCGCGAGAATGCTGTACGAGCCCGACAAGAACGGTTCAAACACTACACACATTACCGCTCTCTTCAAAGTATTCGACGCAAGTACAAGAGAATAGAGCGTGACGTAGACGAGATTTCTCCACGACTGGCACAAAGTAATGTGTTGCATCAAGGCACTGATTGTGTTTTGGTCATTGGAAAGAGTGGAGAGCTGTGGTTGTCTAGAGCTGGGTGAAGGAGACTGCATGCTCTGGTAAATATGGCGAAGATGCACAGTTGGTATGGCTTTGTGGATGCTTTTGGCTGCAGTATGATCGTTAGGCTTGAGCACAACCTTCGTGCTCGCAAGCGACTCACGCTGCCAATTACTGGCGAATGCGAATCTCAATGTGCGTCCGCCGTATCGTAGGCCCGAAGATGGCGGAAGCAAAGTCTCTTCGCGTTTCCAGATTCGATCGTCTCCCCTGCCAGCTGCAATATACAATGCTATAACGACCGCTCACCTGTATCGTCACACCACACCCCCCATGAGAACGTTCAATCACCGCCACCAGCCCGCTGGGCAATTTATGAAACAATGCATTTGTGGCAATACTGCACTCGTGGCAATACTGCGTGCCTGCAACGTCGCCAGGCGCAAATATAGCAGGAGGACCATTATTGCACTTTTACGACACTGCAAGCAGGCCAGATTGCAGAAAGACAATGTTGCTGGTCATGAAATAGTGCGGTCCTTCAACAATATTGCAGTCGTCGCACGAGCTATATTACATAGAGGCAATGTTGTCCCTAAGCGCGCGCTAAAGGGGTTGACTGCGCTTAAAATAGCAGGTGGATGAACGCCACGGTCTGTATGGTCGCGCCGTTTATAAGCCCATTCATGTTGCCGACCAGGCCATCTCAGATGACTCTTTCATTGGGAAAGCTGACAGAGAATTAGAGTCACCGTCTCTGGACTGCGCGCGGTTTCCACTATCGAGCCTAGTCTTTGGTTCAGGCCCGTTCCCGGCCAGGACCCCGAGGGAAGTGGCGAGCACTTGTACTAACAGATGGAAAGCCGTAGTCAGGATCCTGTAAACAGGATTCGCGGCAAAATTGAGCTTCAACCTTTACCCGTCTTTTAGATTTCCAGAATCTCCCTTCGCGCTACCGCTATAGAGCATGGGAGCCGCTCGTTCCATTCGAAGACGAGGAATCCAGCTTCTGGGTATTGTTTGAATGCTTCCAAGGCGATGCTACTAATACTGGTACGTTCGCGCCATGCGATGGGGCTGCACGCAGGAAGGTGAACGGAATTGCATCAATATTACCTACTATGGCTCGTCGACCTCCCTCGAGTCTGCGTAAAGACGTGTTCAGGAAGCGCAGTCGCACAGTCGAGAAGAAAGCGGACGAAATTGCGAAGCTATCTGGCGCCCAGGTGTATGTTGTAATGCTCCACCACGGCCAATTCTACGTCTATACTTCTCACAACACAAATGCGTGGCCACCATCTAAAGACCAAATTGTACGTATCTTTTGTAGGAGGCGAGGGCGCCCGACACTTACGTGACGATACAGGATCAGAGCTTCCCGGTTCCGAAAAGGACTGCTCCTACCAACTTCAAGGTCGCCAAGGACTAGTGCCTGGCCTACGAACTCGAGCGCGATCCGAGCACATCCAGGAAAGTCCTGATTATGATCCGTCATGCCTATGGAGATGATGCACTTCCGTCTCAGCGTGGAGCGGCGACAATGAAATTGTTAGAAAAGAGGAGACGAAAGAAGAGTTGCGTCGCCTAGAAGAAGGGTTCCCGAGAGGGGGTCAAATTCCACACCTAACCTACACAACTTTGCTCGTAGCGAAATGTACTTATGAGAACGCAGTTACTGCACAGTCTCCTTGCTTCCGTCTCAATCTATTCAAAATGGGTAGACGCCTAGCAACAAGTTTGATGAGGGAGTCGTAAGTACAGAATAATGTCTCCTTTTATCCAATCGATAGACAAGAATTGACAAACACTTTCTCACTATTTAGAGAACGCTATCGACGAGACAATACGTACGAGGACAGCCTAAGTTCGACCTCTATACAGTCAACATCTTAATTTGTAAGTTTATGGACATAGGACCCCAAAGTTTGTTAACTTATATGAACTTTTAGGGGATATGGAAGTAAGTCCATCGGGTCTTTCAGCTAGTAGGGACTTTTAAGCTTTAAGGCCGACAACACAGATGGGAATGAGACCTTAAACCTTAAAAGTCCCTACTAGCTGAAAGACCCGATGGACTTACGTCCATATCCCCCAAAAGTTCATATAAGCTAACGAGCTTTATGGTCCCATGTCCATAAGCCTGACATACCCATAAAATCCGACAGCGTTGATGGACTTATCACCATAGAGCTTCAATAGCCATGAAACTTGACGGGTGTATGGCTATACTCCCTCGAATTCGTGAAGACTAACGGACCTAGACAGGTCAATACTCACAAACGCTCGCGCAGTAGCTTTACTCATTAGAATACTCATATGAAGTAACAGGCTCAATCCAGAGAGAAAAATATATGCGCGAGCGAATTCGATTAATGCGTGCTCGTAGGCCACCCTAATCTACCCTAATTCTAGTTGCATTTGGCAAGTCCGATTGATCTTCCAGAGGGAGAGGCCTCTTTTCAAGCCTCTCGGGCGCATCCCAGAATGTCACATCTGTAGAGTTTCTAGATGCAGCATCTGAAACGCTTTGAATAGGAGAGAGTTCAAGGCCCAGACTTTCCAGACTGCGAGGAAAATCTATGCCTGTTTGCATCTCTGGGATATTCAGTGGCGGCGAGGCCAGCGCTGTCCCGAAAAAGCAGCGGAATTGATCTCTGAGGATTCCAAATGATGACACATAATTCTTGCCGGGGCGTATGATTGGCGGCTTCTGATATATGTAGTATAGGAGCAGTGAGGTCCGATCGTCGTCAAACGACGCTTCATGAGGCAACCCCATTCGATCATCCGCACGAAGCTGCGAGATATTCTGTGTAAGCCTGGCTTCCTCAATGTGTACTGGTTGAGTGGCTTCCAGGAAGGCTTCAACATTGCGACTGATGGCTTGAACAGCGGCCTTCATGTCATCACACTGGTAGGTTCGGTCTTGGCAAAAGCTCCTGAGAAAGCTCTCAATAGACTGTGTCAGACATGCCAAATTTTCGTGCGCCAAGATGGGAGACGGCCTGTCGCTGATGTTGCCAAAACCAAGCCGCGTAGAATATTTGGCGAAGTCTGCTACCTTGGTCGGCGAAAGCTGGAACCGGGATCCACTGTGGCCCTTACGGAGGCAAAGATTTCTCGAGGTGACTAACTGCGGGAAATTCTGCCAGGCGTCAAGCCAGAGCTTGCGGTAAGCAGTGTCGAAAGTGTCGTTGCTTCCTTCTATAGCCATTTGAGCACGTTCAAAGCAGTCCTTGAACATGGCTCTGATCGAATGCTTGAATCTCTCAGGCAAGAGCAGCTTCATAGCGTCGGATGCCAAAGACAGGAGTTTGGTATCCTCCATGAACAACGTCAGAGAAAGGATTCGCCCTTGATTGTTTAAGCATCTTGAGCGAATCATGTTTCTCTTTGCCTTGTTCTGAACTTTCTCAAATACGGTAAAGTCCTCGAAAGCTTCCGCTATGCGCGTAGAATCATCTGAGGAGAGTTCGGGATACCTTCCCTCTAGCTTCTGGACGGTGTAAATTGTCGCTGAGTGAGGTTCGTCGCCACAGGTTTGTAACCAAAATTGATAGATCAAATCGAGATAGTACGCAACTTCCTTGAAGGTTTAATCAGCTTAAAGCTTATATTTGTCTTGACAGCCACCAACCTCGTGACATCGCGAGCTTTCAATGCGGTGCAGACCTAATTTAAAATTTGTCCAGAGTCCTGGGTATGGCCATAACCGTCTCATGTATTCCGCTAGTGATACAACCCCGGACACTTTGGCATTGTCTAGGAACTGCATGAAACGTCTCTTCCCTTTGGTCGTCTTTTCCTTCCAGGAATTTGCAAGCCTGGCGTCGCCTTTAGATTCGTAGTAGCAAGCGATTCGATAGATGTCGCCGTCGCTGTTTGGCTCAAGAACTGCATTAGAGCTACGCAAGTACTCTAGAAGCACAGCATCATGTGCTGTCAGCGTGTTAGTAGTCTGTATGGCGAGTCTGTCCTCTAGGGTCTTACTTTCGAACACGAGTCCAGGCCAGCATTGATCATCTTGGGCCAGATGCATCTTGCCGGCCTCCAGACGATGTTTCCCATCCAGGCAGACATACCGGCCATCTATCGCGCGAACAAGGATGGGATTTTCATTCCTCCGACATCCATTAGCCTCGAAAGTATTGTAGAGTGCCTTAACATGCGCAGCGTTGAGAGGTTTGTATTGTGGTGTAGTTGTATTTGGATGCCAGTCGTCTTCGTAGACGAGATCCCGTATAGGTAAGACCTCTCTCGATTTAAAAGTCTCGTATTTCCTAATGGACATTTCGATTTCATTTGGCTCCATCTACGGTTGTGATCGACTCTGGTTGTTCGGCTATGTATTAACGCCGTTCCGCCTTGACCATGGGCTCTAAAGGGCTTTATCAGCTCTTTGCCTGCGATGCTTGAAGCAAACAATCAGCATTTCGCAGCCATAATATAGGCGCTTCTAGAAGCGGCGTGACGCCGAGAGCAGGTTTCGACCCCTGCATGGGTCTATAAAGCTTCTGTCGGAAGGATAAGCGCTCCGATAGAGGACCCTCCGAGCGAAGGACCCCCGGGGGGGGGGGGGGGGGGGCTGTCATTGGGAAATGGCAAGAGAAGAGAGTTGGAACGCTATTAATAGACACTCGAATTGAGAGGTGCCTCTGCTACGGGATATTTGAAAGCTCGTTTCGTACTATTGTAGCTCAAAACCGAGTTCGCCCCCATCCTTGCTAGCCTACACATCGTAAATTGGCACACGTGATTGCCTCGTTGCCTTTCATTGTTCGTTTCGAGATCCCGGTTTTGGACACCCGGAAACTAAGTGAGGAGAAGCTGCAGGAGCAGACACCGCATGGGAATGGCCAGGATTCAAAACCGTCCGCCTACAATACGTCTCATACACACTTCCGAGAATACGCCATGCTTCCATCCTGATAGCTTTCGACCTATTATCCTTCTCTTGCCTCGATTCTAGCGGCACACGAGATAACTCAAAGACAGTAAAGTCGAGCTGATTCTCGAGCGTCGCGAGACAATTCTCGCTCAAAGAGTATTCTGATAAGTCTGTTGCGCGGGTGTACCTCGTCGTCGTTTAGCGGAACTTTGTGAATCCAAGGCCAGCTCGTCCGCCGACGTGTCGGAGCTGAAAGATCCTTCCGCACTGGTAGATGGGCCTTCTGTGCGACTCTCTGTCTGGCTGATTGATGCTACTTCAGTAGACGTCTTCAAGGCAGTAGTGTTTGCATTGGTAATGAAGCAATCGCGCTGTTGTTGTGTCCACTCCCTAGCATTGCGGTATGCCGCAGCTCCATTACGGAAGCTATCCGCGGTGTCTGTCACCGCATAAGCCCGTAGTTGAGTCATATAGTAGTCCGCCTCGCTACTCGAGGACTCCCTCGGATGGGTCGCAAACAATTTTAGCTGACCGTCGCTGTACGTTGCTGCCACTGTGTACGCATTGCCGTCGTAAACGGGTGTGGAGTTGCCATAGTTCTGGAGCTTGAACATTCCTCGGGCGCCAGCCCAGCCGTCGTACATCGCCTGTCTGTGCGCTACATCTGGTTTTCCTGACGCGCCCTTACCCTCTAGGAAGAAATTTGGCGCGGCTGGGCGGCTGGTGGCGTTGGACGGAATGATGTACTGGTCTAGGTCGTCGCGAACGCGCTCGTGTATCTGTTTTGGCCTTGCTCCATAGTATTTGTCCGGATTGGGCGCCGATAGTTCAGGATCTAGTTTTGCCAATCTATAGAAGGGCATGGTGCCAGCGCTGTAAAACTGCTTGTCCTTCAGGCCAGTGATAGTTGGTATTACCTCAGCCATCGCATCGCCCTCTGAAATCGCCCTCCTATTGTCTCTCTTGAATTGTTTAAATCTGTCTTCAGAGAATTTTGACGGGGAGAGAGAAGATCGGCTCTCAGCAAGAACTTCCCGAATCGCATCAACATTCCCTGGTTCAGGCGCTTCGCCATCCGTGTCTTCGTACCCGTCGGGGTAGACCCCTCTGTCCATGGCCTTCTGCACAAATTCCGCACTATATGTTGTGGTTTTGGTCTTTTCTGATGCCCTGCTCTTTGACCTGCTGGACGACCGTGTCCGCTTGGATCTTTGGGAGCTGGACTGGCTCATTGTGTTGTCCAACGTGGATGTGTCTGCGTACTTCGTTTCGTTAGCCATTTATCAAGTGCCTCTTGTCGTACACTCACTCCGCGGAGCTTGCCCAGGTCTGGCCCTCCGTTCTCTGCAAACTGTTTCAGACGCCGCGTGCGCGATCTCAGGGCTCGTGGTGACGCTGGTAATCCCTCTCCTTTCACTGCTGGTTTAAAATGACTCGGCTTAGTACGACGATCAAACTCTTGCAACGCCCTGCGTGTAAGAGGGACTCGTGACAGTGTATCCCAAAAGTGTGGAGAGTAGCTACTACCGTCAATCTTTCTTCTCTTTGCGCTTGTTTTTTGCCCTCCGTCTGCCGCCAATGAGTTGTCTCGAGGTCTTTTCTGGTGATGTCTGTGCTCTTGCGGTACCACCATGAGATCTGAAATGTGCTCAGAAACGAATTGAGCGACGGCTCTCATCTTATCACATATCACATGGAGCTGACGAAGAACTGGAGATCGATGAGGAGGTGTGCTGCACGTTTCGGCAAGCGCCCGGGCGTGTTTCGCGATTCGCTCTAAGGCCGCACCAACCTCAAAATTGAGTCATGACCCCAAAACGGGACGCGCCGCTCAGGCCAATCCCGGGTTCACTATCTTTAGCTGCAACGACAGCGCCGAACCTGGCTTTCCAACTCCACGACCAATCTCCTTCTTCTCCCGCTCACGCTCGAGCAGAAGGCCCGCCCCTCCCTCAGCGATCTCTTCGTATGCGAGCGGCGCCCTCGATCACATGACTCGAAGCAGGTTGCGGACTAGATGCGAAAGAGCGAATAAGTAAAGCAAGATGCCTTGAGTCTGCCACTGGAAGTTCACCTGGATGAGAGATACAAGCGAAGCGAAATCTCCACGACTACTCCAGCCAGATGTCGGAAACTCTGCATGCTGATGTCTTTATCCAAAAAGTACAGAGCAAGAGGATCGGGGGAAGGTACTCATTGATTAGCAAGCTTGGTGAAGGCGGCTTCGGCGCTGTGTATCTTGGTGCGTACTGTACGCCGGGTTCCGCATAAGGACGAAGCTGACTTGTTCGAGGTCGAGACTCCAATACTGGCTCTGATGTAGCTTTGAAGTTGGAGCATAAGTCCGTGGCACCATCAATCTTACAGGAAGAATCACGAAAGTATGAGGCATTCCAAGGGCTGAAAGGGTTTCCTAGAGAGTACTGGTATGGTTGGCACGATGATTACAAAGTTATGGCCTTTGAACTGCTCGGACCCAGCCTTGAAGACCTCCTCGTATTTTGTGGCGGCCGCTTCTCTCTGAAAACGACTCTTCTTCTCGTGGACCAGCTCTTAACCAGGCTGGAGACCCTACACTCGAAAAACGTAGTCCACCGCGATGTCAAGCCTCAGAACTTCTTACTTGGATGCGGACGTAATGGCAGTGTGGTACATGTCACCGACTTTGGCCTGGCTGATGAGTATATCGAAGGGCACAACGACACTGCCACGGGAACGCCGCGACGCAGTTGTTTGACTGGCACAGCAAGGTTTGCCAGCATTCGAGGGCATGAGGGTCGAGGTACGTCCGTATGACTACTGCGCGAGCAAGTTCACTAATTTACATTAAGTCCAGTCGCCGGGAGACGATTTGGAATCCCTTGCTTATATGATGGTGTACTTCATGCATGGCAGTCTTCCGTGGCAAGGGTTAAGGGTGCATTGCATGGGCGAGAAAGAGAAAGCAATAATGGAGAAGAAGATCACCATACCAGCTGAAGAGCTGTGTCGAGGATTAAATGAAGTGTTCGTCACGTTCGTGAAGCACGTAAAGTCTCTACAATCTGCAACGCAACCGGACTACGCCATGCTGAGAGAGATGTTTCGAAGTGTGGCGGCGAAGGAATCTGTAGAATACGATGATGTCTTCGACTGGACTGTGCGCGTGTATAATGAGAATGGAGGGGGTTTGTAGCGAACGAGGCCGATGTATGGAACTTGTTCTTGAATCAAGTCCAGGTCTCGAGACTCCTTTTCAGTGTACAGGGCGTATGCATATTTTGGATCGATTGTGTGCGATCATCTCGATACACTCTAAGAGTGCTTTGGCTAGAAGGAAGAAATTCTGCAGATCTCTTACTACACAGTCCTCGTGTACATGGCGGCCGACCAAGGTCATGCTGCCAACTTGGCTCAACAAAAAGGTTGCAACTGCGTCAAGTCGACGACATTTTTCGCGGACGAGAAAGAGATGTTCTCGGGATCTTGTACACTCACGATGCTGGAAGCAAAATGTGTCTTACCGTCCGTTCTCCTCCAGATATCGATGGAGTCCTTCTTCAGTGTACGAAGCTATCTCGCAAGCAAGTGGCTTTCGCGCCGCAGTCATGTTCTGGTGAGCCATGATATCAGATTGAGTGCTGGACGATGGTGTTCGGTGCACGGGATGGCCAGCATCGATAAGTCAACTTACCGGGCCTCTAGGCAACGAATCACCGCTGCAGAGGTGGGGCAAAGCTCACTGTCTGGCGATGCAAAGCTGTAGGCAACAGGGACGAGCGTGTCGCTTCTATTTCATTCTGATGTGCCAGCTCCTTCGGTTCCCAAACATGAACGATCGATGGGAGATCCCAGTTTCCCGTCTATATCTTTCGCTCTCTTTTGCACTCCTCTACTGTACAGTATTGAGAATGGAACGTTTGAGATATGAGGCCGCATGCGACTTGATGTGACGTGTCGTTGTCGATATGACAGGGCACGAACCCTGCCGCCTTCCTAAGTGGGCTGTCACAGCGGCGTAACACAAGGAAGAACATATACAAATAGATTTCTGAAGCCGGTCGACCATTTCCTCAGCGCATGCGTAGGATGACGTATCAGAATGGCAGAGCTGCAGAAAACCTCGGACGCTTCTAGCCACTGCCCCACCTTCCTTTTGCCGTTCACATGGGAGCCTGCCTTCGTGGCTCATAGTTTCCTTCGAGTCCTGGGTTGCTTAGAACTTTGAAGGAGCACCGAACAACAAAGCAGACAATTTGGGGTTGTTAATGGACCGCGTTCTCTCCAGCGCACTTGGCCCGTTGCGTCCCCAGACAAAAACCTTCCGAGCCGGGTCTGCGCCATGTTGAAGAAGAGCCTGCACGACCGGAATATTCTCCTTGTCGCATGCCAAGTATAGAGGTGTAGGAAGAAAAGACATAGCCTTCTGCTTCCACGCGACAGAATTGGTGTGGCGATGTGCATTTACGTCGACTCCTTTCCGCGCAAGAAAGTCGACTAGTTCGGCGCCTTCGCGCTGATTTTTCCTCTCAACAGCACTGTGCAGGAGATTTCCGTGCATAACGTCGGCTCCCTTTTCGAGTAGGAGATGGACCACCTGGATGTCGCCAAGAGCGATCGCACTAGCGAGTACGGGGAGGTCAAGCTCATAACGAGCGTTGATATCCGCTCCGTGGTCGATGAGCCAATTCATGAAGTCTTTGTCATGGATCGCGAAACTATGAAGCATTTCAGTATAGCCAGTGTCTGGGTGATTGCAGCGCTATGATATTTACCAGAGCGGGGAAGCTGCCCAGAGAGTATTGTTGATGTCCCAACCAAAATCAAGGAGTATTCGTATACACATTCTATCCTTGCGCTGAAACGCTTCAGCGACGACATCTTCGGAGAGCACCCGATTCTCTTCCAACAGAATCTGTAGAATATCGGGTTTCCGTAGTGTAACAGCTTCAAGCTTGTTACGCAGGCTTGCTCCTTCCTTTAGACCTAGGCTCGTTTGCCGGACTGTCTGCTCGTCGCCCACACGCACAGACTCGAGAGCAGCTTGCTCTTGACCGTCGGGCTCGCACAGATACTGGAGGATTTCGTCAAAGTTCGCCTCGGTAGCGTGTGGTTGTGTCATCTTTGCGATCTTAGGTTGAAAGAGGAATGAATGTGGAGAGGGCAGATAACGTGAGGTATATACGACAGCTGTTTGCGCTAAGTCACAATAACGACCAATCAAGTTGCTGCGCAAGCGACCATCCCAACCGAGGAACTAACGAGCTAATCACATCGGCACGCCTCGACACACAGCAGCGCATGCTCTTACGACGGCCTTTCCATCCGAACCAGAGCTCCATTTGGGTCACGGACCTGCAGCACATTTGCATTTGGAGACCTCTCCGTCTGCGACCAAGCATTTCGAATCCAGACCACCGGCAAGCTGTTCATTCCCTGTGGCCAATTCGCAGCCAATTCGAGACTGCGACCAGAGATACTGCAGCTTAACAGTGTTGCCCCCTCACGGGTTGTTCGCATCGGGTAGCCGGCCCACATGTGTGGCGAATGGGTCTGTTGGGGCGCTGCAGACGTGGTGGCCTGAGTTGAAGATGCAGCAGCCGAAGTTGCAGCAGTTGAAGACGAGGCAGTTGATGACCGAGAAGAACCCTCAGTTTGTGGCCACAACTGCGTCCTTTCTAAAACCAGTTGCGCCTTGTTGTCCTTGAAAAAGCTGACCAACTCCCCCTTAGGTGGTATGATCCCACGAATATCGGCCTCCTGATAATAAGCCGATCTCATGTCCAGGCTTACTGCTCGAAGGCAGTTTCGAACTTGTTCTATAACGGGTCCTACTGCGCCAGACTCTTCGTTGCTTGCGAAGACACCCCATGCAGTTGTGGAGGCGGGAAAGTGGTTGATGTGTGTTTTCATCAAGTTCGTGACCGCAGTCAACATGGCCTCGTGATGTTGGTGGCTTTGTTGAGGGAGATTCTGCTTTGTGTTGGCATCAAAATCTCCTGGATATGGTGATATATGCGCCAGGATGATGGCTGACTTTCCGAGAATAACAACACATGTACAACCATTGAGACCCTTGGTGCCGATCGCTTTGGTGCGAGATTTGATGTCGTGTATCAAGATATCCTTGTCGTCTACGCCGACCTCCAGAAGTTGGTTTCCTCTCTTTAATCTTTGATACAAAGTGGCCATGATCATCAACAGCGAGCGACAATGATTTCGTACTAGAGGGGAAGGTAAAAGCACAATTTTTGAGATGTTCTCTCGTACTGCGATGCATGATACAAGTATATCCACGGCACTTCACGCAATTGTGTGACTATGCACGGAGCAACAGGCAACCATCGTGCGACAACTGCTTCTGACATGTCTAATGCAACGTCATTTCTGGGTTTCCAGGTGAAATGCTGAAATACAAAGCAAAGTAGAGCAAAGCAAAGCAAAGTGGAGCAGAGCAAAGCGAAGCAATACAAAGCAGAGCAGTACAAAGCAAAGCAAAGCAGAGCAGTGCCGAGCAGTGCCGAGCAGTGCCGAGCAGTGCCGAGCAGCGGCAGCGCAGGACAGATGTGATCACCTTTTCGGATCACTGACCGCAACTTTCAATCTTATCGGACGACTTTGTTACAGTCTTGGAGGACCTCGAAATCACCAGCATGACCTTGCATGTTCAATTTTCGAATCAGCAACAAATTGTATCCTAACGTCCCGTCGCAGAATGAAAATGCGAAGCAGCAGCATAAGTGCCACTGTCTTCTGCGCTGGTCGCTCAAGTGCCAAGCTTTTGGAACCCCGCGATCTTTGTGTGCTTGTCTGGCACCGCTGCAATCTGCTCCATTCTGGTGTTCTGAGCCTTTTTCCACACGCATGAAATATTCCTGAGCGAGCGATAGTTCGGAAATCATCGAAGAGTACGTCCCAGTCCGACTGCCAGATCGACCAGACGCACACAAAGTCAAGCACGTCCAGTATTCGCACCACCAACTTCATTTCTGGTCAGCACCGCCAGACATCTATCACTTAGCCGTTGCGTAGCGACACAGTCCCTGCGACACTTCCGTCATGCCGAGCGAAGGAGATCGCATCCTTGCGGTCGGTGACGAAGATGTTGAAGATACGGGAAAACTGGAGGAGACCGCGACAAATTTTGTAAGAGATGCAGAAGTTTCTTCTCGCGGGAGGGAGACGCTGATTCTGGCCTAGGCTGGCGACAACCTGACGTTAGATGCCGAAGAGGTCGTTGGCGAAAATTTTCAAGAGGTCGATCGATCGGTGCGGGCGATTCTGGTGAGGAAAAATTGCGCCGAAGGAGCAGTGCGTGTATTTGGCAACAAAGTATGGAACGTGGTGACTGGACCTCAAGAGAAGGGATTCGTAATTATTTGCCTTGGCGAGGGAGAATACTGCAGATTACTTGGGACTCCCACGATCCGATATTTCCGCCGGTCCAAATCTTGAAGGCAGTACAAACTTCAGCAGAGCTTCACTCAGCTGCAGAGAGAATTCCAATTTCCCGCTCAGCCCGATGGTTGGTCCCTCGTTTATGTCAATAAACGGCAACGGATGGCCAGCGTACGTACACCTCATGCGCAGGTCAACATCGCCCACGCCGTGCTGTTCAAGGAAAGTCAACAAGTCGCTGAGCTTGAAGTCTAGCACCGGCCCAGGTGACGTGAGTGCTGTGTCTGAGGTTGTACGATGTACAGTCTGCACTGCTCCTGCGATTCTCTTTTAGTGTTATTGTCAGCCAGTGGTCTGGGACTTGCCATACCGTCGACAACAGATAAGTTAGCATCGGTGCCAGCGACTATAGTCAGATTCGAAGGTTCCACGTTATATACTCCGGCGGTCATAATATTCAGATTGGATGCATTGGCTTCGTAGGGTATTAGTGGCTTTGACACCGCAGTACCTGCTGTCACATACCATATATATTCTCTGCCCCCGAGTGCTTGCGTTTCAGAGTCTTCGCATGCAAATCCTTGGTCGCAATATCATGCGAATCGGCTTGGTTGGCTCTGGTAACCAGTACTGCGACATTATAGGCCTTATCCAGAGCTGCGGCAAGATCCTTCAGTGATTGGGGATGTGGCACGTCTGTCCACCATTGCTTCAGATCTGGCAGCATGTCGCTGAAGTTTACAGACACGAGCTTGGTCATGCTCGCTGCATGCGTAAACAGCACAAACAAGTCCAGACCGAAGATATTGTAAACGTTCTCTAGGGTGTCGCGCGCTCGTGTCCTCACACTACGAGCTGCGCTGGAACGTTGCTGCAACGTCTTCTGGTCTTCGCAAAGAATGCCGTGCCAATGTTGGAAGTCTTTCAGACGTGAAGGCAAGAAAATCTCCTCACAAGCAAATGCCTGCCGTTTCTTTTCGAGATTTTCAAGGAGCCACCCATAATCAGGCATTTTGTAGACTGTACTTCGGGGCTTTGCGTCGTCGTGTAAATGCAAGAGTGTCTCAAATAGCGAAGCAAAGAAGGGCGAAGCAAAGAAGAAAAGAAGGCGAAGCAGCAAAGGAAAGGAAGGCAATGCAAAGGAGGGCAAAGCAAAGGAGGGCAAAGCAAAGGAGGGCAAAGCAAAGGATGGCGAAGCAAGGACCAAGAGCTGAGGCACGGCATGTTTCGCGACACATTACTGGTGGAACCACGCGTCATGTGCGGCATGACTCTGCACCCTATTGCAAAAAAGTCACCCTTTTGCTGTGCCGGTTGTCTTGTCTTGTTGTTTTCACCCCCTGATCTAACTCGGACCAAAATCGGCCATGTGCCTCCGAACGAGACCAACAATCAAGCACCGAGTTGACTGGTGTGATCTTGTCCACGAGAGCAACAGAGCGTTCTCTACGACACCGTGAAGTCCACATGCCTGGTGCACTTCTCGATCGATTGCTTTGGTTGGCCTACACTTCGGTTCGTAGCCTGCATGCAAGCACGGAAGTCTACGCGAGATGTTGGCAGCAATCTGCGTTCGGAATCTCTTGGTGCCTCTCTATAATGCATGAAATCAATAGATGCATAACGGTTGTAGATCCTGACGCAGACTAGGACCAACAGAGCAGATCCTCGAATGGTCTAGGAAAGCGTACAAGAATGCGGTATAAGAGCGAGCAATGGGTGCTTGTTGAACGGTATTTTCGATCTCTCGAGCATCAGCTTTCACTCCAAGAAACCCCCAACAGCAGCTTCCCTCTCGTCCGCTCGAGGATCTCCTGAACTCACCATGCCTCCCACTAAAAGCATTACGCCATCTTGCAATGGACAGTTCAATACAACAGATACTCCTCCGAGCAGCCCTGTTCTGGAAGATGTTCATGGTCTCATATCGACTCGTTCGAAAAGTTCAGATGGCACCACCGCCATTCAGCTTTTGCAGAAAATACTTGCTGCTGTGAGAGACGAGTCCACCTCATCGTTGGAGGAAAAATCTCCTATCAAATCAGATGATACCGACGACCAGGAATCAAAACTCCGTTCTAAGGTGATCGACGAGGTGCCTGAAAGTACCATCTCTCTGGTGTCGAATGATACCAGATCTAGCTCAGCTGGACTGCGTGCTTCTAAATTGGACTACAAGAAAGTTAACGAGGTGTAAGTCTTCTGATTAAGCACATAAAGCATGTGCTTATATTGTGGATTCGCAGCTGGGACAAGAAAGCGTACAGCTACAAGCTTGCTGAGCCGCTCCCTTCCATGGACGTCGACGAACTCGACCAGTACATATTCGTGGTTCGTGAGAGGACTGGTAAGCAGGAGTACGGTTTAAGACACGTCCCACGGCTGATGCTCGATTCGCAGACAGGAAGACGCTAGCCGCAGTGTCTTACATTGATGTGAAGTCCATTAAGCTTCGCGGAATGCTAAGGACGATCTTGAAAGACGTCCGAAGCATCTGTCTCCAAGAAGACAAGCCTTCTGTATGAAAACTCGTATTATACATAAGGCACATCACCAAGACTGAGCTCACCCTGCGAACAGATCGAGGCGAACCTGCTGTACAGCTTCCTCCCTGAGATGAAGACGCTTGCGTACAGCACTGGCTCAGATGGTGCTATAATCAGACAAGCCGAACATTCCAAAATTCTATTCGAATTCCTTGAGTCTACTTATGCGCGGACGTCTCAACGCCTCGGTTCACTTCTTCGCAGCAATGAAATCACATACGATCTGCTTTGGGCCCTCTTCAAGCCGAATACAGAGATCTATACGACCTGCGCTGGCACGGACGAGCCCATGTGTGTCACGGTGAATCATAGTGAGGAGAAGGAAATGCCGAACGGAACCAAATACTTTCATGTCGAATGCCGCCATTTCGATTACGATGGGAAGATATTCGGAGAAGCGACTGTGGAACTCGCCGTTGAGAAGTTCCGCGGGTCGAAACGGATCGAGCTCCTTCCAGCGTTTCCTCTGCAATATCATCAACACTCAGCAGATGTCAGCAAACAGCTCATCGACTGCGGCCGGCGATTTTTGACCTTGGTGGGAACAGCACACCACAAACACTATGAGGGTTACGCATTCAGGAAAGACGACAAGGGACGCCTCATTAGAACATTCATCAAAAGCCGAATCATGGTGGATGCGTCATACTTCCATCGCATCAATCCAAATTACGGGAAACCCCAGGTCGATGAGCACCAAATGCATGAATGGGGCGGCGTGGTTCTCGTACGCCCGGACGAGAAGAAGGCTGACGTGAGGAATGCAAACGTGGAATCGGGCGACTTGAAAGACGCGGAGTTGTTGACGTGCTGCCCGACTGTTCCAGGATTCAGTTTGGAAGACAAACAGTGGTGTACGTACCTAACCACTACCTTCGAGGGTCGTTCAGACGCTTACAAGATATAGTCGAGTTTGCTGTTGCCAAAATCAGCGACATAGACTGGGAGCCCTCTTCATTTGACGCTCTCTCCATTCCTGCTAAGCAGAAAAAGCTCATTCAAGCTCTTAGCAAGTCCTATCTCCATCGGGACTCTAAGAGCAGCTTTGACGACTTCATATCTGGAAAAGGGCAAGGACTCAACATACTGCTGCAGTAAGTCGTCAAACTTTGCATTATGTCTAGTCTTGCTGATGCGCCAAACAGTGGGCCCCCCGGGGTCGGCAAAACACTGACCGCTGAAGCCATGTCTGAGTATCTTCGAAGACCGCTTTACGTGGTATGACGCTGCCCTTGGCTTGTTCATGCTCTCCGCTAACTGATCAAGATATCTGCTGGAGAGCTAGGAACCGACATCAAGGAGCTTGAGGCCAAGCTGTCTCGGATCTTTAAGACAGCGAGACACTGGAAGGCGACTCTTCTCCTAGATGAGGCGGACGTGTTCGTCGAGCAGCGTGCTAATAGCGATATCTACCGCAATGCTCTAGTCTGCGTGTTCTTGCGCAAGCTTGAGTATTACGACGGAATCCTGTTTCTCACGACTAATCGAGTGACAACGATTGATGAAGCGATTGCTAGTAGAATACACCTCGCACTGCGGTATCACGCGCTAAACGAAAGAGGGCGGAAATCTGTATGGAATAACTTCCTAAGGAGAGCAAGCACGACACAGGGTCGTTCCGACTGCGGCCCAGAAGAACTCACTATTCTGGCAAAGGCGGTTCTAAATGGGCGAGAGGTAAGGTTCACATATACTCGATAAGACTGAGCTGACTTTGAGCGTGTCTTAGATCAAGAATACGGTGTCCTTGGCTCAGGCTTTGGCGGAATCCGAAGGCTGTCGAGTGTCTTTGTCACACCTCGAAGAGGCTATCGAATCGAACAAGCACTTCCAGACCGACTTCCGTGGAGCAGGCCAGATTGAAAACATGCATTCTTATACGTAGTGTAGCTACTCTACTGCATGTCTACGCCCGCATTGCTCCACGAATAGTATCAATCATTAGCTCGCCATTTATTTCCAAGGTCAAATTGATTCTTCGTCTAATCAAGGGCGAATCAACGCCGGTGGTTTGCCAAGCGAAAACTTTCCGATTGTCTGGATTACGTCATTTCCTCTGCGGTCGACCATTCACCCTACCGTCGACTTCCCACCCTGACGTCGACCTCCATCTTCCCCAGCCGTCGACCTGCTCCCCAGCGGTCGACCTCCCACCCTGCCGTCGACCTCCTCCACAGCCGTCGACCTCCTACCCTGCCGTCGACCACCCACCCTGACCTCGACCACCCACCCTGACCTCGACCACCCACCCTGACCTCGACCTCCCACCCTGCCGTCGACCACCCACCCTGACCTCGACCACCCACCCTGACCTCGACCACCCACCCTGCC